CCTCAATTGGCCGTCAAAGATGACATCCCTGCAACGCATTCAAGTGGGAGTTTATCCCAACCAGGACTGTAATACTTTTGACTTCCTCAGAAGTCAACTGTCGCTTCAGAGGAAGTCAAAAGTGACGTAGTGCATCAGATAAGCTAGAATTTGGACAAATATACCCCAATTTGTCGGATCAAAAAACGAAGGAGAGGATTTGGTTATAGATATATATATATATATATATAATGCATTAAGAAGGAATGGACTACATATACGGATATGCAGATTAAGTGGGAGTTGTGCATCATTTGTGAGATTTAATACAGGACTTTCTATATGTACACATTTTATGAGATGTACTAGCACAAGTAATTTTTTTTTGTTATTCACTTTTTTTTAATGTTTATTATGGCTTATAATGTCTAAACAACTAGACCAAGAGGTTTTTTTTTATAAAGTATCATTAGCACAGGTTTTATGGCCAACACATAATTGTTTAATCACTTTGTGATATTTCACAATTTATAACATTTTAGGAATATATTTTGAGTTTGTTGAAGCTCAGTTTGTTGAAGCTATATTCTGGGTGTACTCACTTATTAAGCACAGCTGCTCTTCGAGTGATATTTGATTCCTAGCACAGTTTCGTTTTAACAAGAAATGGATTTTACAAGTAAGACAAAAATCCTGTTTTCTAAATTGCACATCACAGAACACAGGGTGTTAGTTCTTGAACGCATGGAACGTCCAAGAGAAGACCAACAGAGGGGCGAGTAAAACAATTCAGTACAATGCATACAATGGCTCAAGGAAACCAAACACTAGCAAGCAACAATAAATAGGACAGAGCCCACAATTCAGAGAGCTGTTTGAAGAATCCTGTGGCTGAAGCTAGCAGCTACAAATGCCTGAATATCTGTCTGGTAAAATGTGGCAAAAGTATGAACAGAGGACCAGGTGACAACCTTGCAAATTTGGGAAATCGTAGTCTGATGCTGTTGGACCCAAGAAGTACTAACACTCATGGTAGAGTGAGCAGTTAGTGGAAAGGGGAGAACTTTACCCAAAGTGATGTCACCTAGCAATAATGGAACGAGAAGCTGGCTGTCCCATACGTGGACCCTCAAAATGATGAGGGATTCAGACTTGCGGATAGAAGCTGTAGCAGAGAGGCCAACTTAAACAGCCCAAACCACGTCAAAAACAGTGGAGAGACTATTTTTTGGGTGTTTTGGTGCATAAGGATGGCAAAACAACTTCTGGGTTAGGGCGAGAGGCAAAGATCGCCTTAGGAAGAAAGGAGGTCTTGGGTCTCAGTACTACCTGCCAGAAGTGTTGGTGAAAAAGAAGGCAACCTTGAGAGTGAGTAGGGTCAGAGGAATATTTGAGAGATTTAGAGGGCGGCTTCTGCGTAGCCGACAGAACCAAGCTAATGTCCCATGGAGGCACAGGTGGATCATCATAAGTGGACCCCTGAATAAAGGCCTTTACTAGAGGGCAAGAGGCAAGTAGCCTTTGTAAAAGAATTGCCAAGGCAGGAATTCGGCCCTTGATACTACTCAAGGTTAAAACACTAGTTGTAACCCAGACTGGATGAAAGATAGGATATTTCCCACAGAGTACTTTCTGAAATAAAATACACTTGCACTAACTGATGTAACACCCTGGGAAGGAGGACTTCCTAGCTTTCAGAAGGGATGACAGCTTCTGAGAAGTCTCTGTCCTTCCGTACCTGGGCTTCAACATACAGACGTGCTAAAGCCAGCAACAGACAGTTGGAACATTGGTCCTTGGGACAGTAGGTCTAAACTATCCAGACATGTCCATGGAGAGTTTGCCAGAAATTTGAATACATCTGCACATCACTGTCTCCTGGACCATTTAGGAGCAATAAGGATCATTGGCATGCCCTCTGTCTCAATCCTGAAAAGGGATCCAGGCAAGCGTTGAGGTGGGAAGGCATAGATGAGGTTACACTGATCCCACAGTGACCCAGGTATTCCTGGCTGTGGTGACAAACCGGTCCGGGTTGTTGTTGAACCTGTATGCCAGGAGGTCAACGTCTGGTGTCCTCCACTTGAAACACCTTTGGATAAAGTGACAATTCTCTGTGATCCAGACATTGAAGACTGAGGAAGTCTGAAATGTGCATGGAAGACAGTCTAAGGACATGAAGTTTCATTTGGGCCAGGATCAGGTACGCTCATCTTTGAGCAGTGGGATTTCTGATGCCTCCCTGAGGCCATGGCATTGTCAGACTGAATCCTGGTCGGGTGGCCCCATAACTGAGTGGTCCAGAGTTAAAAGGGACAACCAAATAGCCACAAGCTCCAGGATGTTGATTGGGAGTCAAGATCTCTCCATTGACCAGGTCCCTTGAACTAAGAGGCTGGCCAGGACTTCCCAACCTGACAGGATTGTATCAGTCATGAGCACCTTTGAGGCCACCAAGAGGATTTCCCCAATTCCAACACCAGGTTAGAGATACACCACACTAGGACAAGCTAATTGAGGGGTCCAGGGACTAGGCCAGTTTGTCCCGCGCAGTCAGAATGCAGAGCTTCATGGGGTGAAATGGAGCATAGGTACCTGCAGCAAAGAAGGCCACCATCAAGCCCAACACCTCCATGCAAACACAAATGGTTGAGCAACTCCTGGACTGCAAGGTCCGAGAATGAGAGTGGAAGCATAGGATATTTTTAAGGGGAAGAAAGACCCTGGACAGGGCCATGGCCAAGGCTAGGCCCAGGTACTCTAAGCAATTGAAGGGTTCAAGTAACAAATTCTGAAGATTCAGGTTTGTATCATTCAATGAATACTATATAAAGCTTGCACAAACTACTCTACATGGGGATGGTCTTCCCAAGTATATCACTATGGGCATCCCCAGAGTTGAAATCTGACCCAAAACTGGAACCAGCACCTTAGTGGAGAATCAAAACCCAGACGAAATGGAAGGGCAAAAAATTGGTAGTGTTGCAAAACTTAGGTAGTGCTGGATGTAGAGGGTAAAAATTGGGATTTGTATAAATGTGTCCCCAATGTCCAGTGATACTTCAGGTGAAGAGAAGTGATGAAAGGATCCCTTCACACTAACATTTAAGGAAAGGCAGTCCTGTGCACTTTGCCCGCATACACGAGTTGAAGCACCTTTCAGTATGAAATGCCAAGAGATATGCGTTTAGTGCAGAGTGTGACAACACAATGAAGTCTGTTGTGTTGCCCACCCAGAAATGCTGTATGTACCTTTAGTGCATTCTGGTACATCAGGCAGTCCATTCACATAAGCTTAACGCAATGCTCATAGCTTGCGCGAGCTAACACACCTCAATAGTGTGAATGAGTCCCAAGAGCCCCTGTTGCCTCCATCTCAGGTCCCTTTAAAAATTGCACTTATTACCTTTTTGCAGCCCTAGTGGTCATTTTCCACAAAGATCCCTTCTATGTGTTGCAAAATGGTTTGGTAACATTACTGGGTGTTACCATCTTCCTCCTTGATGTCAGAAGCACCCACCAGATTGAGGACTTTCACTCCGGGGTGCAAAAGCAAAATCCTGTGCATACACCGAGGAGTAAACAAAGCAGCAAGTGGCTTCTTTAAGTGAAGCAGGTGGTGGCTGCTGAGTTAGCAGAGGCAGCTGGCTAGATGTACAGCACATGACTTGTAAAAATCAGACCTCCAGATTGCAGCCTGCACCATCTACCATGCTTAAGAAAGCATCTATATACACATTAGCGAGTTTATATCATAGAGCACTTGAGTACAGACTGGTACCTTAAGAATTATTGGTGTGAGGGAAGTCCCTATTCTTATTCATTCACTAAAAAAGGTCTATAACTTAACTATTGCCAAGTGTAATCATGTGTAGTCTTTAAATAGGTTAAAATGGACCAATTTTCACAAAGTGGAAATTTGCTGTCTTACAGGGAAAATCTAGAAAGATAAATAACGCTAAGCAGTAACTTGAAAGACCAACCTTTTAACTTGAATTCCCTGAAAAGTAGCAGTGTACCTGCTAGTCAAATTGTCACCAGTGTGCTGTTCACTGTAGTTCTGAGAGCCTGAACCTCAGGACCTGCAGTGCAAAGGACACAGAGTAAAAAAGGAAATGGCAATTTGTCGTGTGGAAGAGATTAGCTTCAGAGAGCCAACAATACTGGTAACTATTCCTTTGCCCCTCTTGCTTCACTTGTTTGGGGCAGAGCTTCCAAAGTACATGTCCTCTTTAAACCCCATGAACATGAGCTGATATTTTCAGATCAGACTCATGGCCTCCTTCAAATCTCAAACTCTTCTCCTATTGGGGTTCCCTAACCTTTACATCATTGAAATCATGTTTTTAAACCATAGGAAGAATCTTTCAACTCTTTGGACAGAATTAAACGTTTTGGTTATCAGAGTTAGTGCTTATACATAAATAAATGAAGGATGAAAATGTGGCTTCTCTGAAGACCAAACAATGACCAAACCAAATATGCACAGAAATGATGGGTAAGCTGCTGCCTTTATTAAAGCTTGAATTTAGTTTTTTTAAACTGAATCTCGCCTAACAAATCAAAACTCCAGTTTAAAAGGACCACTCACGGGTAATGTTTTTCAGTCTTCCAGGCAACTTGCCCATCCTAATCCAAGTTTAAAAGTAGCATATTAAATCATATTACCTGTGGTACTCTGATGACACTGGCAAAAAATTGAAGATTGGTTAAAAAAAAGCATGCATCGGCCAAACACAAAATTCTATTTGAAACCTGAGCAACCAAAATATGAAAAATGCAAGGTTTATTAGGAATCATTAGCAACACAGTTATACTGGAGAAACTCCAGGTACCCATGGAGAACACTCACTAGCTTGTGTGCTCTGATATATTACATAGTAACAAGGGCAATATGTTTTTTTCTTATGTTACAGGTATGCATCTGGTTTAATAACAAGTACTTTATTTAAAATTAAAAACAAAAAATCTTCCAAGGCACAAACAATTCAGTTGTAACCATAATAATCAATCACCATGAGTTCATTCCATATAGTGAAGTACAAAAACTTTAATGAAGAAGGTAACAACAAGTACAATTAATTTATACATGTTCTGGACAACACAAAAGTTACTGGTGAATTTCAGGTAAATATGAAGCAACAAATTTTCATGAGATCGTCTAAGAGTGAAGCCAGCAGTCAACTCACAGTGAGGTAAAAGTGTGAAAAACTGTCTTTATGCAGGTTAGTTCCTACAAGTAAATCAGAATGTCTGAAAATTTTAGGTTTATTTTAAAACCCAATAAAAAAAAAAAAAAAAGGAACTTTTTTTTATTTCAAGGGGGGCCTACAACACCGTACCACCCTTGAAATTTACAACAGCAAAGGAATGATAGAATTTTAAGACAAAGTGACAGTGAAGCAATTTACAAAGACAGCATCACAAAGTCACACATTAAAATGGAATATCATGGAACATCATCTGGCTGCACAGTTCAATGGAAAGGCTCAGGTGGACTAAAATGTGGTACATATGTGGAATTAAATTAATGCCAGACTGACTCATCTATACAAAGTACTGCCATGGTCAGCATGCCAAGAACAGGATTGTTCCAACAAGAATAAAGTCATCAATCTCAAAATGTTTTTTTTGTTTGCTTTTCAATAGCCCACAAAAAACATGTTCTAGACGAACACCTGGAAAAAATCTATTTACAAATAAAAGATTTGTTGATTTTAAAATGTATAAAAAATGCAATTTTGGCACCACCTGTAAAGGCAATGCACAAGATAACCATTAGATAATAAAAATGCACAGTGAAGGCTCAGGATGATTCTGTGTTACATGCCCGGGGGTTGTGCAACTCTAAGGTGTTCAGATTTTATTAAGGTTTATTATATATATCTATCTTACAGGCTTGCAAGGAAACATTGCAGAACACAGAATAAGGCAGCATGCATGCTTAAAAGGGGAAAATAAAATATACATTATTTCTTTAAATAACCTAACCAGGCGAGGAAAGAAAAAACAAAAACAAAAAGTTATGTCCTCCAAACAGCATTTCATAAAACGGAGGATTCTTTTTAGAACAAATCAAATTATTAAAATATTCTGTTCAATGTCTGTACAAATAACATTCCTACAATTACAGTATACATACAATCAAGATACCTTCTCCATTGTGTGGCCTAGTAGCAGTTACTTTTTTTGTTTTGGAAAATTTACAAGACATGAACATAAATAAAGCTAATAAAACTGGCAAGTACAGTACTGGTCCGCTGTTCATTAAGAGTCTTAAACCACTCCAAAAGCCATCAAGCTATAACAGGGTGAAGTCAAATGCAGTCTGAAATCAAAAGGGAAGACAGGAAATGTGGTTAGTAAAGCCACATACATACATAGGCTGGCATTTACTTTGCTTACCATTGACTCTGGGGCAAAAATCCCCCCTCCCCACCTGCAAAATCTATTTCAAACTCCCATTTTGGATAAGGCTCTAGTATGGATTCTGAAGGGATCACATTTTGTATTGCACACTTACTTTTTAGGCTGGGGTGCCTCAAGATTTTGCATAGTTAAAAGGAAGCTGTGACTAAAAAAAAGTTGAAAAAAGCTGGTCTACAGACCACCAAAATTCCATAACATGAGGGGGGTGGAATGGTAGAACATCACAGCTGTGCCACACAGTTGAGTGCTAAAATCTCAAAAACATCATAAACATGGAGACTGTTTTCATATACACAGCTAATTGGCATGGCTATCAGGATTGCAACAATAACATTTCAGTAATATAACCATGGTAACACAGTCATACAGCCATCTTTAAAGAGCAGAGTGTTATATGGTTTTTGTTCATGGGAGGGTGGAGAGCAGACATAGGTGCTGTATGAGCCAACAGGATATTAAGATGAATGTGCACAGGAAGCCTCTACACGAAGGAGGGGAGGAGACAGGGAGTTGCAGCAGGCAGGGAGTTTCAGCATGCTCATTGAGGCTGCAAAGCTAAAAGGGTGCAAGAACACTCCATTGCTTCTGGCAGGAAACAGAAAATTCTCTATTATACAGGATTTATGTTTATGTTTTTGTGTCAAATACAATCTCTTGCAGGACTCATTTATGTTTTTGCTCCAACAAGTAATTTGCCTAACTGGAAGTTCACGTTTCTGAGTTTGTATCCAGATCAAAGTCCAAAGAAAAAAAGCACTGAAAAAGGTAAAAGGCCTGGGAGCAAAAAAAAAAAAGCCAGGCCATCAGAATCATTTTGCTTTATGCACTAGCTATTAAAAAATAAATGATGATTAGTTAAAACCTACAAATTCTGGATTTAATGTAGCTTACCATATAATTACATATTTTAGAAAAGGCCACAGTCTTTGAGATTATTTTTTATGATGACATCAGTTACTGCATCAAATACAAACTGCACGTTCTTGGTATCTGTTGCGCATGTAAAGTGGGTATAAATTTCCTTTGTGTCCTTTCTTTTGTTAAGGTCCTCAAACTGACACTGAATATATGCAGCTGCTTCTTCATAAGTGTTTGAACCTGAAGAAAATAAAGTTTCATCAATATATGAATATTTTATGAAATAAGTTTACCTTTCAGACCATGATTGATGTTACACCCATGCAATCTGTATATTGTCTAGTTTTGCTCAAAGTACTACCAATACCATACATCCTTTTACACCACAAGAAATAAGCAATGTCAATCCTGAGGGAAGAGTTTAAATACAACACGCAAAACATGAACACTTCCCCATGTTTTATACCTTTAAACACGCTGCAGGTACAGAAATGTAACCTACCCATGTGCCAGAACAATATAGTGTACTTCTACTTTCCTCTGACATGACAAAACAGTGCATTTTTGCCTCAAAAATTCAAAGCATGTGGTGTTAGCCCTGCCTACTTTATTTCTAATGGATTACAACCACCAGACTCCACTCCTCATCTGGTTGCTTCTTATCCAGGGGCAGAAATCATAGGAAGTTACCAGCTCAAAAGATTTCTAGAAAATCGACAAGTATTTTTTGCACTTATCAAACTTATTGATAATAAAAAAAAAAGTAACCCTTTTGCTGTTTTTTTTGCACATGCTATAAACCGAGGCCTGATTACTCACTCACACCTACCCCCTTCCCCCCCCGCCTAAATGTTATATTACCTGAAAGCACAGACTCTATAGAATAAAATGGCAGCAGTTGCAAATTTTTATGTTGCATGATATTACTCTATTCACACCCATATTTTCAGTAACAATTACACAAAACACCTTTTACACTTTACAAAAACATTGATGAGGTGGTGTTAAGTAAATAGATGCCCAACTTGACAATTATATGCGCCTGTGAAATACAGTACCCCAAATTTTCCATAGGCGACACTTTAAAATCCTCTACAGGTCATCAGTTTAGAGTTAATTTTGAATATTGGCCCTAGAATCATTGTAATGCAAGTAGGTACGCGTTTATGCTGGGGTGTATGCATTTACAGGGACTTAAAGATTTAAAAATACCTAAATATTTTTATTTTTTGTTTAACTTTATTTATTTTTTACTTCACTGCCATCATATAGGGGGCTCAAGAGCAGAAATCATGTTTTAATAGCTTCTTCCCCGGTCTCTCTAGCTGGGGAATGACAGCTGAGGAGCCGGAAGTGATGCAATGCTCCATTCAGTAGGGAGGAGATTGGCGAATGGATGTTCGCCTCTCTCTCCTCACCAACACCCATGATGCTGGTCCTGGGGCAACAGAAGGGGCAACGGAGCTTGGTAAGCAAGGCAGGGGACCACTTTGCCGGCCCGTGTTAGTGATCTGGCGGCAGCTCAGCTGCCAAAATTTCTTTGTGTAAAGCAGACAGTTGGCTTTACACAGGTAAACAGACTCCCGTGGGCTATAATCAGTTTACAGTGGCCCGTTGCCAGAGTGATATGGTGCTGGCAGTGAATGGGTTAGTGGTATATTTGGACCAGAAAATACAAAGAAGAGAAGTTAATTGTTCGGGTCTACATACACACATACTGCCAAAGGCAGAACACACATGCTTGATCACTGCCACTTTTGTAAATAAATTATAAAACAAAAAATTTACCATTTCGGTTAAAAAAAAGAAAAAGAAAAAAAAAAAAAATCACTGATGCATTCTTTAGGTCTAGAGAAAGATGTGAATTTACCAGCATATTCAGGATAGCAGATTGTCAAAGGACTCCTCTTGATTTTCTCCTCGAACAGATCCTTCTTATTTAAGAAAAGAATAATGGAGGTGTCTGTAAACCACTTATTATTGCAGATGCTGTCAAATAACTTCATGCTTTCATGCATTCGGTTCTGAATAGGGGGTTAAGAGGGAAAAAAAATACAACTTCAATTGTAGAAATGAACACTACTCCTTCTAGTACAATACAAACAATACCTTATACACTCCACAATGCATAAGGCATCCACTGCTTTATGTAGTTTTCGGAATATGCTCTGTTGAATATCCCACAATTGTAATGTGTTTGCTTTGATTGTGAATTAACCTAACCGCAATCAAAGCTGTAACCATTACAAGGTCCTCGTAAATGCAAGACTTGAAAATTACGAGCAGTTTAGAAAAATGTAAAAAAAAAAGCTAAATTCTACTTCTAGGGCAAAGAAAAGTGAAAGGTGTTTCCAACAACACACAATGCAGCAGACCCTTCACTCTTACAATGTATGATGCAATTATTTGGCTGGAGTTGGACTTTCACTAATTGCTAGTGGAGACCCCGTCACAGTAATGCACCAACAGTAAGGAGGAGGTGGCACCCAACTTAGGATTCAGAGTTAAGAAACCTACATATGGCCCTATGGAAGCTTTAAGTTAGCCCATGAATGCTAGTATACCGATTTAAAGACATACAATATAAGGGAAACATTGAGGGCTTGTTCACACCAATTGCAGAGTGTTCCAGAGCTGCAACTGCTGGAACGCACAGCAATTGCACACTAAATGTCCCTCTTCATTCTGGGGCGGGAGGGGCACCGCAGCCATCCCCCCCCCGCCACCCCCGTCTGCAGTGCGATCGACACGTGGCAAAACATTGCTTGCGCTCTGTTCCACTTCAAATGCAAACATGATGTATGTTCTATTTTCTGCGTTCGGAGTGGACCGGAACGCAGGCAATGTTGGTTGGGGGGGGGGGGATGGCTGCGGTGCCATTGACTTCAATGGACCATCATGCCCCCTCCAGCCCCAGAATGAAGGGGGACGTTTAGTGTGCGTCAAGCAGCCAACGCTCTGGAACGCACCGCAATGGGTGTGAACAAGCCCTGAGGTTGTAATTGCCGAATTCGTCTCTGAAATACTTGTTATCCAACTGTCATGCTGAGTCTCATGCTTCAGTACTTTGAATCACTGACCTACAGCAAGAACGTAGATTCTGAAGTAATTCTTCATTTTCCAAGTACTAAAGCCATTGCGTCAGCAAGACAGCTGGCCTACTGCACTCACCACAGGTGTACCTGGATTACCAGGGTTCCCATGCTCTTTTCCAGTTTCTGTAATTCTACTAAATAAGCACCTTGTGAGGAGGAGTTGGACATCAAATCTAAATACCCCAAATTACAACATTTTAATCACAATGAACATGTCTTAAGACAGTTGCAGGACAGATATTTCGCAATATGAACACACACATAAATCACACTTCTGTGGAAATAGGACTGCAGATGAAGAGGTAAGGCTGAATATTCCACATCTATCCAGATATCACCTTGTGTAAATGTAACCTCCATACTTACCATCTCTTCATCTTCGGCTAGAACCAAGTCGTAATCACTCAGGGCCACACAAAAAATGATTGCTGTAACTCCCTCAAAGCAATGAATCCACTTTTTTCTTTCAGATCTTTGACCGCCAACATCAAACATTCTGAGAGAGAAGTGAAGAGATAAATGATCAGAAAAGCAGTTCCAAAGCATTAGAGACTGAGCTAGTTTTCAAGCTCTAAACTGAAATAATTTCCACTAAAGTAAAAAAACTAATATCTACATTTTGATCAGCGTTTTCCTAAATTTCAAATCAAGGCATACAAAATTTTAAAACGGACATGTCAACATTAAAATGTTCATTTTATGAACACTACGTCTATGATCTTTGTAACTATCCTTGCTTTTACTGCAAGTAATTCACTCTTGTTTGTGTGAACAGTAGCTGAAGACTTGATAAGAAGCATCTGGGGGCAATAAAATAATAACATTGGTGATGGGTACAGCTAGTGCTATGCTAGGAAAGCACAAAGGTCTTCTCATATAAAAAGTATGATCGAAGCCCTTTGTAGCCAGATCCCCCACTTTTCTTCACTATGGAAAGCTTAGGGGAGTCTGATGCGTGCTCTGGGCAACTTAGACTGTGGTCCAGAACCATATTCATGAGGCAAAGGCCACAAACAGTTAAATGTTAAAAATAATGCAGGTTTAGTTAATGATGACAGGTCCGTGTGTAACAGAAACACTGAAAAGATACTAGAAATGGTAGATATCACTAAGGGAGCAGCACAGGAAATAAAGATTTTAAAAGTAAAAAAGTCTAAGCCAAAGCACAAATTGTAAACAAAGGGAAAAGAAAATCATACTTTCAAAATGGAGAATGTTAGGCTAAGGAAGAAAGAAATTGAGAGTGACTACATCACAAGAATAGTATACAACGTATTACATAGAACAGTAAAACTTTAAGTAAATGTAGGCCACAAGTGAACAAAAACAGCACTGGAATAAGGTATGTGCAGGTTTTTCTGCAATGTCTGCCTGCAGAGTGATCTGCCAGTAAGAACCATTTACAGGCCACATAACTCATCCCTGCTAACCATTGATGTCTGTACAACTTTAGATAGTAACTATATGGAAGGCACAGAACTCTGCTACGAGACTAATAATACTAGCCAGCTGCAGGCACACAATACATATAACCATTTCAAGCATAAATGCACGAGGTCAGGTGCTCAGATTTGTTAAACCCTGGTCCTGTGCTTAGCAGTGCTAACAGTATTTCTACAAGAACATATTTAGGAGTTCATACAATGTTCTTTGAACTGTATAAAGATAATAACCCTTCATAGATGCACCTGGGCAGGTTGCCAGCTCTAAAGATGCCCCTGACACGTGCCAGCCGAGGAACGGAATTTAAATATTACAAGTTACAGCGAGCCATTTCAAAGGGCTTGTTTAAAGCACACAAATAATGGTGATGATCAAAACAGAACGTGCAATAAATTTACAAACCTTTACCAAGTAAGACTTTTCCAATGAACATTCTGTATTTCAACTGTGTATTTACTATTTGGCTAGAGCTGCCTTTCAAAAAAGCAAATGCAGTAATGTAGATCAATAAAACAGAATTTAACAATGCTAATCTAATAAAAAGGGAATTTATAATGTATGTTCTGTGAGCGCATCATTTCAGTTATTTTGGCCCCAAAGTAAGTACTTTTGATGAGACTTACATTTCTACATACCATCTCTTTACATTCAGTACAATAATACAAGTATAGAGAGATTTGAAGATTAGCTACTAGAGGCACCAAAATGTCTGTTCTATTGCTTACAGAAGCCAATAAAATGACTTGCTTTAAAAAAAAAAAAAAAAAAAAAAAAGTTAACTATACCTGCAAAAAAGCAAAGGAATACTTATTTTCTCTTGCTGTCCTCACCATCAAAACACAGCTCTGATGCCAAGTAATATCTGGATGAGACTTCTTTGGAGAATAACACTACCTAGATTGTCGATCTCCTTGGTCCCCCGCAGCACTCAGTGGTTCCTACTGCTGACCTGTCGCTACAGTATCCTGCAATGAGTACTTCTTTACAGGTAGTGTGTGACAAATTCAACCACATAGTGGGTGCATGGCTTCAAAATTATTGTCTGCCAACTCATACACATGCATTGTGAGAAGGAGCAGTAAAGCACAACCAAAGCAGGGCTTTCACATAGTATAACCATATACTGTATGCTTTACAAAGTGTTTAGGCCACTGGATAAGCGCAAAACAGGAAACTAGAATTTTCAGAAATCTACAATGGCAGCCTGCAAATTCTCTCAGTACAGGATTCCCTTAAACTGAACCTGTGATTTGTCCATACAAAATTTACTTAAACCTAGCTTATTCTACACTTTATACTTTCTCCCCCGCTAATGTTTTCTGCTGGTGGCGAAAGGCAATTCCAGTGAAAGCTACGAGTCACCAGAGTCGCAGTTTACCAAGGGCTATGGCCGCCTCATGAGGCAGCACCACCAGGCTCAGCGCCATCACATGGAGTTCGCATTCTCCTCCATATCTGGGTACCGAGGCCAAAAGCAGAAATTTGTACTTTGAAAATACAATCTAGCTCATTTAAGGACTGACAGTGGACAGGATAATCACATTGAATAAGACTTGAAACACCCTTTTGTAACCAAGGATTATAAACAGAGTTAAAGAATTTACAGTAACAGTTTAATGTTACCTTAAAAATATTTTATTCACTTTTATGATTTATTTCTTTGCTGTAAGTAAATGGCTTTTGTGCAAAACCTCATTAAAGTGTTAGACTGCATGTAATGACTGACTCAGTTTGTTAATGCAGTGTACGGAACACATGGCTAAATGACCACCAAGAAAAGCCACAAGTATTTCAGAATGAATTCAGTGGTTTTTCCCTACCTCTTCATTAAAATGAAAGCAGCACTAAAACAGATGCTTGAAATAAATCAGCTTAAGTTTACAGAAAATAAAGCACTGTGCTGTACAGGACCAAAAAAAACTCTGCTATTGTTGTCAAAGCCCATCTCACAGCAAATATTAAACCCCCTCTCACCCATCCTGCACGTCGTATCCCCCCCACCCCCAATAACCTTTTGAATCAAGACATAATTATCAAAGTCCGACATCTAGGTTCCTCGCAGGCACAGTTTATGGGTGCAGGGGACCACTAATCCACCGCTGCAGATGTGCCAGCCAGTCTCTGACAAGCCCCTCATGTTGGTGTCCTTCCTCTGCTGGATCCTGAGAGGACCCCGCCACTAGAGAGCCAACAGTGTCCATGTGAAGCAGGAAGCGACATGGACACCCGGAAGAAGGCCCAACAGAAGAAGGTGAGAAAAGGCTGGACAAGAGAAGATTAAAAGCATCACATTACCCAGCCTTCCATCGGTTAAAAAAAAAAGGGCATGTAATTTTTGTTATCCGCCCCCCAATGCCAGCTATCAGTTATAGGGGATGATGAATGCCACACAACTCCCAGCATGCTCTTCTTCAGTTACTGCATTAAAAAAAACCAAAAAACCAAAAAACCAAAACCAAAAAAAAAACATTTTTTTACACAGTACAAAAAATATGTATACGAACTGGCCATTTGCTAGCAAGGTACTTGGTAAGCAGGCTGTCTATAAACGTCCTCATTCAAGTCCAGCGCACAGGACATTAGGAAGGAATACAGAGGATGGACATCTACTATAGATATGATTATATGGATCAGAGGAGCATGCATAGAAAAGTACTAAGGCTGGGAATTTTTATCCTAAGGCATTCTCTGCATTAAGGTCAAAAAACGGCCAGTACGCTTGCATGCTCCCGTCCCCGAACACTTACCGATTGTTCCTAGACACCTCTGCCGGGTCCAGGAAGATATCCGCTGTTACCAGAACTTTCTGGCTGTGGAGGAGGGTACCGAGGGCAGTGGAGTGATAGGCTCCTGCCAGTCAAACTGTTGGTAGGAATGTAATGGAGGGAAAAGGGCATAGCTTGCCGTGTGCAGTGAGTGTCTGGCTAACTGAAGGAGACACCCACAGTCAGGGAAATTGGCAGTTTGGGGATCAACTACAGGAGCTAGAATGTTCAAATAATGCAAGTGTGGACCGCCTAATACCTCTTTTTTTTTAATCGTTTTAAAGGCCAAGTTTACTTTTCATGCAGAATATGTTACACCCATATTTAGAGTCCCAATAACCAGAATTTGGTATGGCAGTGCATGGATATGCCCGTGCAGAGTCATCCTCCATTTACAGATCCTTCTACAGAATCTGGGAATGGGGAGATTACAAGGCCTGTCTGCCACTGCACTTGTAATACATTCCTACTACCACCTGGTCCTGTAGCTGAAAATCTGTACCTTGGTATGGCCAGGGACTGGCAGAAATTGTCTGCAGGAGTTTGACCACTGTACCCATGACCTACTGATTGCAGTTATAAAGCTTTACAGGCTCTAATGCAAAAAATAATAAAAATCGCAAAAAATTTTTTTATGAATGTCTGGATTTTTTTTTTTTTCTGCAAACAGTTGGACTCTGCTTTTAAATAGTCCAATCTAGGAGCCAGCTGGCACTTAAAGTTTGTGTACAAACTACACAAAGCAGAGCACATTTAAGCACAGTATGCATAAATATAGCAAGTAATTTAGTATGTGAATGACTAAACTGAGAAGAGAAATGTTTGTGGGTTAGTAAAGTAGCACAAAAAAAACCAAAAACTATTCACTATAAAAATGTTTAAAAAAAAAACAAAAAAAACAACACACACTTACTTGAAATGAAGGTCTTTGAATGTAAAATGCGTTTCCACTATACCGGTAGTTTTTACTCTAGTTCTGAGAACATCCTGCTGAGTGGGTATGTAACTGTTCTGAGCTATTCTGTCCAAATCATTGAGGTAACTGCAAGCAATGAATGAAGAGAAGGTTGAGTCATAACAGATACACAGCAGTATGAGAAGCTTTGCTGCATTATCAGAATTCTTGTAGCTAAAATGCACAATTCACATTACTTTACAAAAAGGACAAACAGCTGGAAAGGAAGGAAGTTTATTCTTTCCAAAGAGTGCATCAGCAAATCTTTAAGCAGCTAGAATACCTAAAGTACCCTACAGAAAAAAAAAATAAAGTTACTGATCTGGTAATTTTATGGCCAGGGCAACGATCTCATGTATGTTTGCAGACAGACAACCATAAGTTCTTACGGGAGGGACGATCGGGCATCAATCCCCCAAGATATGTTGCCCTGGCCACGTCTGCCTGTGCAACCATCTTTCTTGTCTACTGCATGTGCAAACTTTCTTGGTCAAAAGTGGTGACTTTAGAGGATTATTCAGTGGTGGCAGATATGGTATCCAAGCCTACATGTCCAAACAGACACATTGTCTACACACAGCTATGTTCCCAAACTTGAACCCAGCAGCGCAAAAAGACATTACATTTACTTTTTTGAACCATTTCAAGAGTTGTATGCCGAAATCATAAATATAAGGGAGGTGAAGAATGCATGAGAAAACCACAAGGTATCTTGTGAGTTTTATTTTTAAAAAAGGGACACTGTCACCTTGCTCATGCAGGGCAAATCGACAGTGTCTCTGGAATAGGCATCCCCGACCCCCATATACTTACTTGTGATCCCTTGCAGGTCCTTACTCCTCTGTAGCTAAATACACCAACAAGCACTTTTGAGTAGACAGGAGCATGTGACATGCTCTCCTGTGATGTTACCAGTCCCAAGAACCAATCAATCTAGGTTCGAGCACATGATTGTGGGAGCGACTTCACTGTTCCCAAAGGGTCACCAACAGAGACCATCTAAGCCTGGCTGAAGAGGAGCATGGAACCGAGGAAGGCAGGCAAGTATACACAGGTTGGGGATGCTCTTTCCAGAGACAGTCACCTTGCACTGCATTTGCAAGAGGACTCTTTAAGGCCCCATTCACACTTGCGATATTGCGCCTTTTACCACGCGATATAGCGCAAATTTTCGTATTGGGCCGAGTACAATCGTGTGACATCCGCGCGGAAAAAGGGTTCTGCACACGCGACGAGCTACAGGCGACATGGAGCTGTAAATGGGAACAGCTCTATTGACATGCATTGGGCTTGGTACACAGAGAGATTTCTTTGTGCTCAATTTACACATTGAGCACAAAGTATCATGAGCAGACAGCCTGACACACAAGCATCACCAGAAGATAAGTGTTCCTTAAGAGAGAAATTCAGCACTGCAGAGAAGAATGCTAGTGACCTATTGAGTTAGATTTCTTGTGCAGTCACTGTGATGAGTAAAACTTATTGGTTACAAAAAAAAAAAAAAAAAATAAAAAAATCATTCAAAATAAGAAATCAT